AGTTTACTTTTTTATCTTTGAAACTAGCAGCATTGCCTCACAGAAAACCTGGGTCCGCAGAGGTCCAGAATGAATCTCTACTCTACCTGACTCCAGGAGACAAAAAGAAGAACATGGATCTCCACACAGAAATGACCTCCATGAGGTCTGACAATCTCCACCATTGCAGCAGAGGAGAAAGCCTGAGGGAGAATTCCAGAGGTAAGGGACCACACAGGACAAGCAGGGCTGTGTTGAATACTCATTCACCGTATGTATTCTCTGCTCCCATTCTATCACCCAGTGATTGAAAACAGACAGAGAATACATAATGGGACAATAGAAATGTGGGAAAAGCTGTGTCCAAGGAATGACCCTCATACTTTGTTTGTTTTTAGGAGCAGTAATAGCAGTGCTTTATCTGAAGTCTACAAAACCCAGCAATGCATTCTTGGAAGACAAGAGCCATGCTCGGCACAGGGAAGCTGGAGGTCAAAGCTCATGGGGTGGCCCTCCTTCCAGCAGGTGCTGTGGTGCTGAGACAACCTCTTAGTCTCTGTGGACCTCTGGTTCCTCATCAGTGAGGTAAAGTGTATATTGTTCCTCTCTGAAGTCCTGCTGCTTAGGTTCCTCTGAGTCCCTGGGGAACCACAGGTGCCCTGGGAACTGAGGCTGAGAGCTGACCTAGTCCCTCCTGTGTCTCCTCCCAGATCCGGAGCTGAGTCCACATCCTGAGAACCCAGAACTGAAGGTGCAGATGAAGGAAGATGAACAGCTCTCTGGGACGTGAGAATGACCCAGAGAATGACAAGGTAATGTTAGGGTGAAACCAAGTGTGGGTGAGATGAAGGACACATTGTGTTGGAAACCTCAGGGGATACTCAGAAAGACCTACTCCACTGTCCAGCCCCAGAAGGAGCCACCTTCCATGAGCACTGAGGTCAGGAGAGAAACTGACTCCACAGTGAACCTGTGCACCTGGCCAGGGAGATCCCTGGATGGAATCAGAGCAGGTTTATGCTGAACACAAGCTTTCCATGCAAGCTAGAGATCCTGGTAACTTCAGTGTCACCACCAAAAAAAAAAAAAAAAAAAAAGAGGGAGAGAGAGAGAAAGCACACCCTTCCTGCCCTCTTCAGCTAGGTACATTTTTCCACCCATGCTCAATTCCGCCATGCAACACACTGCACAATCCAATAAAATGGCAGTGGTGCAGTCACACGGCCCCAAAGTAAGGATCCCCATGATCCCCACATGGGGCCAAGACCTATGTACATTGTTCACAAGGCTTTTGCTTTCTCTGTGCTATAGTGTGAAAGCACTCACAGAACTGAGTAGCCAAAATAATTAATCATTCATCTGAGAAATTGGCAAAGGACCTGAGTAGACATTACTCCATGAAAGGAATACGCATTACTACCAGGTTTATGACAAGTTGCCCATTATCAGTACTCATCAGGGAAACACCATTTCAAACCACAGAAGGATATCACCTCAGAACCATATGGTCAGCTGCTTTCACAAAGACAAGAGAGAATAAATGTGGGCAAGGGTGTACCAAAAAGGAAACACTTTTACATTATGTGTGAGAATATTGAGTGGTATGGCCATTATAGAAAACATTATTGAAATATTTTTGAAATGTTAAACTAGAACTGTCAAATGACCCATTCATCCTCCTTATGGGTATATGTGCAAAAGAAGAAGAAACAAAAAACCGTATCAGCATTTAGTAGAGATACCTGCAACCCCTAGTTGATGCCTTATTCACAGAGGCCAAGATGCAAACTGCCTAAATGTCCATCAACAGAAGGTTGGTTAAGCAATCTTGCTGTCCATATATATGGCTTGAAAAGTGTATTTTAATAAAAGGATACTACAGACTTTCCATGACACTTTGGAATCACTTGAAGCTTTTGAATCATTCTTAACATGTCTGTGTATAGATATTTATATACATATAATGTGTAACAATACATTATACATGATAGATGTATGATGATGCTTAAATATATATATTTATATGATGGAATGCTGTTCAACTCAAAGATAAAGGAACTCCTGTCATTTGTGAGAAACTGAATGAAATTGGAGGACATTATGGTGAGTGAAATAAATGAGATATAGAAATAATAACACTGCATGAAGTCTGCTATGTGTGGAGTCTGAAAGAAAAAATGGAAAATTGTTGAATATGTCAAAACAGAGAATATATGAGAAGTCTTCAAGGTGGTGGAGTCTGGTGGGAAGAATAGAGAAATGTTGACCCAAGAGTACAAAGTGGTAGTTATAGAGAAGAACTAAATCTAGGGTTCTGAAATTAAGCATGAGAATCTGAGTTATTAGTGGAGCATGCTATTCTCCATTAGAATGAGAAAGTCTGAGAAATTCTTCTAACAGTAGATTATGTGGGTTCTTACCATGTGCAGGCACATAAAGGTTAACTGTGAGATGATGAATATTTTATTTACTAGTCTAGAGGAATCATTACACTATGGATATGTACATTACAATATCATTTTTGAATATTTTAATAATTATTTTAAAAGATGTATTATTCTATTTGAAAAGTGGAGTTACAGACAGAGAGGAACACACACACACTGAGAGGGAGAGACCTTGCATCTTCTGTTTCACTCCCCAAGTGCCTACAACAGCCAGGGCTGAGCCAGGCCAAAGCCAGGAGCCCAAAATGCCATCTGGGTATCTCACAGGAGCTCAAGGGCCAAGGACATAAGCCATGTTCCACTGCTTTCCCTGGCACCTCAACAGGGAGCTGGATCAGCTGAAAGTGGAGCCGCTGGGACTCCACCAGCACTCATAGAGGAGACCAGTGTCTCAAGTGGTGGCTTAACCCACTATGCCACAGTGGAGACTCCTACATCTATTTAGACATCAGAATTTAAAATTTCAAAAAAAAAAAAAAACCAGTTTTGATCATCCACTCAAATGGAAACCTTAAAATGTGCAGCTTTTGGGACTGGCATTTCATTCAGCAATTAAGTGGCTTTTGCAATGCTCACATATAGGCCCTACATATAGGATGCCTGTGGGTGAAACTGAAACTGGAAAGAAGTGTCCACTAAAGAAGGATGCACATTCCCTGAAGGGAGGAGAGAGCTTCCTCTTTGCTTATGGCCTTGTCGAGCTAGGTGGGTCCAGAAGGCTTCTGTAGCTGAGGCAGCTCATGACAAGTGCCCTGGGTGAGCACTGAGGTCAGACATAAGAGTGTGATTTGTTAAAGACACAGTGAGAGCCACTGTGCACTGCCCTCTGTCCTCAAAGCTGTATCAAGGGACCTAATAGTAGAACTGTTCTCCAGAATCACTTCCTTTTAGTGCATTAAATGGAGGATATTCTTATGTCTCATAGGTTATAGTTCTGTCTAAGAGCTCACAGCAGATGTATCATCCGTGGGTTCTTCTTTGAAGAAAATTAAGTGTCTAAAAGCAAAGAAGGGGGAAGAAGGAAGGGAATAGCAGAAGGGGGCAAAAAGTGAAATCACCTTTGAGAAGCAGTAACCTTGGACAGCCCTTTGCTAGGCTGCTGAGTAACAGTTCTCTTCATTTCTTGTTCCATTCTGTCTTTTTTTCTTTCTCAGACTAAACAGGAGGGTTGGAGGAGGAAGGGGGGGAGAATAGGTGGGAGGGAAAGTAGGTGGGAAGAAGGACTATGTTCTTAACATTGCATTTATGCCATAGATACAATATTAAATAAGAAGTTAATTTAAAAAACTACTTCAAATATGTAACACCCATATTCCTCAAAATAAGTTTGCCATCATTATAAAATTAGTTGCAGTAATTATATATAAATATATTATTAAAAGCATTAGGTTCTTCCCATACATTTGCAGAACAAATTGGAGTTCTGCACACCAAGTGTCACCCTGGCCAAGCCTGACTGTTGCATGCTTTGGGGGAGTGAAATAGTAATGTAACACATAGTTTTGGTTGTGTTTCTCTGTGTGTATGTCTCTCTACATCTTCATCTTTACATCTCAAATAAGTATAATTAAACAAAGAACATTTTCATTTCCATATGTTCAAATATGTTCAAATTAATATGTTCAAATTTTCTGTTCAAAGTCATTGATAAGAAGATGAATATACAGGCCAACATAGGGAGAAACTTTTTGAAATTGCATACCTAATATAACAATTCTATCCAGAAAACTAAAAGAGCTCTCAAAATTCCTTTCTAAGATAATAAAATGACCCATTTATCAGGGAAGCTTAAAATTCACCATTTCAAACAGGTAGAAAAGCCTTGAGATCTCTTTAAACAGCAGGTGGGGTGACTTCCTAACAGCCCTGAGAAAGGAAGGCTTGTTGGGACACATTTTCTGCCTTGGTATTTTCATACACATACATGACTATACGAGTGATACATGCTTAGGTGATTTGGGGACACAGTGTGTGGTATCAGTGCAGGATCTATAACTATAAGACTGGCAGATGGGTAGGTTGTCCCCACCAGTGGGGGTCTTGTGCCTCAACCTAGCTTAGGCCCCTGGAAGGCAGAGTTCCAAAGATTCCGTGACACGCTCCACCTTCTAATTCTGCGATGGCAACGGCAGACCATTAGCTGCCACACAACAGCCAGTCCTAGCAGAGACTGAGCTACAGGCAGTGCCTTCAATCTAGGCTTTGGCAGTTTTATCCTTGTTTGTCCAGAGAAGAACTTCCCAGTGTTGTCGGGCTGTGGATCAGGTGTTTCACATCAGTAAGTGATGCTGGACAGTTATTGTCACCCCTCAAGCCTACCTGAAACTCTTGGATGTCATTTGTTTGACCCTCACCTGTGTTTGGGTTTCCTCTCCCCAGTCCCTGTTGTCCTGCTGTGACACACCATCAGCATGGCAGGATCCCACAGCCCTGCCTCAGATCCCGAGGCAGAACTGAACGACCTCGAATGCCAGCAATTGCGATCCCAGCTGGCAAAGAGCCAACAGGACTGCTGGGAGCTCCAGGAGAAGTTTCTCATAGCTGAGGCTACAAACTTTGCCCTGGCCAGGGAGCTGAAAAAATACAGTAAGTTCTCTCGGGTCATTTCACCACAGTGATGATTGTCCTGTATCTTCTCCTGAGGACTAAATGTTTTACCTCACTACGTGATTGTTGTCTTCTTTTTGCTGAACTTAATTTCCTCCTGACCACACTCCCAAGCTGACACACAGGGTTTCACAAGTTTTCCAAGGTAGCAGTGAGTTGTAGGGTGACAGGAGTGCTGAATCTGTCATGGATTCCTGATGAGGCATAGAGCTGCCTGTTGTCCTCAGGGTCAGGCTCCACCATATTGAGTGCATGTTTATGATCATCCTGTCTGTGTCAGCTCCTGCAGCCTTATACCATCACTGTGGGCCTCATTTCTGGGGCTAACACATTTCACTCAATTCAAGCTTCCGTTGAGTTCCCATTGGCAGAGCACTGTCCTAGGTCCAGAAGTGGACATGTGTTCAGAGTGAGCAGGATGGGCTTCCAGAGAGACAGAGAGTCTCCTGTGCACTGGAACTCTGGTATCCATGGGAACACCCTCACAACACAGCCTCCCCGCTGGGAGAAAAGTCCTGCTCCTGGAGCACAAGTTCTTCTCCCAGAAGAGGAAGACGGTGCCTGAGACCTGGGAGTGGGAGTACAGGGTGTAGGGGGGGAATCAGGGCCACTCGCCTGGGTGCCCCCATTGCCCACCTTCTCTGTAACTTCAATTTCTCTCCCACTCATAGGAGTTATCATAATGCCTGCCTCTGTAGATTGTCACAACCAAAGGCGCTCCTTCTTTCCTATACAGCTCCAAGGATGGTTCCTTGCTCAAGATCAACAGAATCCATGAGGCCCTTATTGTACTGTTTCTAATTTAGCAGGAACTATACTTTTTATTGGGCCATATTGCCTCAGGGCCTTACTTTGTTATACATTGTACTCTACACAGTTCCATGAAACATGGTCCCTTAAGTCTGAAATAACAAACACTTGGAATCTTTCCCAATGCAAGGAAACAGTCCTACACCCTTATCAAGCTCCCAAACATACAGAAGGTGACGACTTCATGCCCCAGGTTCCTGTTTGACCTGAGAGGCTGCAAGACTTGCTGAGTCCAGTGGCTCATGATTCAGCTCAGGGGCTGGGAACTCTGATTCTGTAAACACCAGTGGAATCACATTGTCAAGTCACCTTCTGTATCTTTGAAGTCCTTTTTTCCCATTTTATTGGGAAATAGCAGGGTCAGTGCTGTGGTTCAGCAGGTAAAGCCGCTGCCTGCAGTGCTGGCATCCCATATGGGTACTAGTTCAATTCTGGCTGGTCCACTACCAATCCAGCTCTCTGCTATGGCCTAAAAACCAGTAGAAGATAACCAATGTGGCTAGGCCCTGCATCCACATGGGAGACCTAGAAACAGCTCTTGGCTCCTGGCTTCACATTGGCACAGCTCCAACCTTGCAGCCATTTGGGGAGTGAACCAGCTGATGGAGTCTCTCTCTCTCTCTCTCTCTCTCTCTCTCTCTCTCTCTGCCTATGTCTCTCTGTAACTCTGCCTTTCAAATAAATAAATAAATAAATCTTTTAAAAATAGGAAATTTCAGATGCTATGTAGTGAGGTGATGAAATACAGATGTGAAACTCCCAATCTGGAGCCTGGCCCTGGAGTTCTTTTGGTCTTCAGCAGGCACTGACTACAAAAGCACCTCTCTGAGTTCTGCGTGTGTGTCTTTCCGCAGATTGTGAGAAGTTTAAAAACATCATTGAGTCCATACTGACCAAGAAGCTCCACTTGGAGGAGCCGCTGGCAGAGAAGCCCACGGTCCCAGAGCTGCTCAGGTAAGGGTCTCTGTGGGGGGCAGGCAGGTGGGAGGTGTGTGGGTGTCTCTGGTGGGGCAGCTCAGAAGGGAGAACTGAGGCATCTCAGGCATGGAAAGCCAAAGCACTGTGGCAAACAATGTTCTCCATGTAGGATCACTGTGGGACACCAGACAAAGAAGTGGCCATCAAAGGAGGATGCACTTTTCTCTAAGGGAGGAGAGAACTTCCACTTTGCTGACAGCCTTGTCTAAATACAGACAGAGTTTTCAAAATGCTTCCATAGCCTAGTCAGCTCATGTCATGAGCCTGTGTGGTCCCTGACAACATACAGAGGAGTGCTAATTGTTCAATTAACAGCAGGAGTCACTGTGCACTGACTCCCCATGCAGGACCTCTGTTCTCAATGAGTTGTATTAAGAGAGAGTTACAGTGAACCATTTCTCAAACAGTTTTTATTCTTGTGTGGGTGTGTGTGGGAATTGTTGAAATCGTTACTTAATATAGAGTTGGTCTTCTGTCTACAAAGTTCATTGAAAATGCATCTTAATGGAGAATGAGTTTGAGAAGTAGAGAGGGAAGAGGAGCTGGGCTGTGAGTGTGGGTGGTACCCTGGGTATGGGGAGAAGAATAACTATATTCCTAAAGTTGTCTTATGAAAAGTATATTCCTTAAAATAAAAGAATGAATAAATTTTTAAAAGAAATGTTAAAAATTAATTTTACAATGAAAGTAAAAGTGAATAGGTACTTTGAAAAAATTCTCCCTTCAGGAGAAATTAAAATGAAAATACATTTTTCCCTCTTCAATTACTGTTTATTTCCCAAATGAAATGGTATGAATAGATAATAATAATAAAAAAAGACATCATGGAGTCCATGTTGACCAAAAAGCTACACGGGGAGGCCCCTGCCACAGCAGTCCAGGTCTGCTGAGCTGCTCAGGTAAGGCTCTCTGTGTAGGGCAGGCAGGTGGGGATGTGTTTCACTAGTGGCAGCCCAAATCAAAAACTGAGCCAGCCTGTGCCAAACAAGGGCAGAGAGTTACAGCAAACCCCGTGTCTCAGATGTTATGAAACAAGGAGGGAGCAGAGGAATCTGAATTCAGAGCTGCAAGTGCGGAGAGTCTGTAAGTAAGGTGTCCAGGTGGATGGGCTCCCATGGGTCCCTCCTGTTTACTCTCTCTTCTGCAACAGGAAATCCCCGTGGCTGTGTTTCTGGGAATCCAGTCACCAGTTAGCTTTGGTCCTCTGTAGGTGGTGCTATGCCTGTTCTCTCTTCCTCCCATGTTCTCATGGTTCCCTTAGTGTGGAGGTGTTTTTCTGTGGGCACTCAACTCAAGAAGGAGCTGCATTGGGTCTTCTCGGGGGAGGAGCAGGGGATGCTGGGCTCCTCTGTTTGGTCACCTTGCAATCAATCCTCATTTACCCTTAGTCACCATCACCTCCTGATATAGAAGACTGATGCTCAGCTTGGCCCTGCCAGACCTTCATTCTTGTTTCTTGCCATGTAACCCCTGCATGCACCAGGATTCCCAGTCACTGCACTGTACACTGTGTGTCTTCCTACATGGAAATGCCTGTGGCTGGAAGGAGGAACTGAATTAGCACCTTTATGAAGGAGAGGAAGGAAGAATCCTTGCACTGTTGATAGATAACAACCCTAATAGAATCTCAGGAATTGTGACAAGATCTTTCTCTAAAAGTGGGAGCAAGACCTTGTGTTGCCCTTTGCTTTTCTTGGCACAGGTATTTCTCCAAACCTGAGTGGTGATGCTGGTGGAGGGCTCTATAAGGCATTGTTATGAAAATCTGTTGAAACACAGAGAGCCTAACACTCATTCCTTCCCATCTAGAACTTTCTCCACTCTTGCACCTTAGGCATTGCCGTGGCATCCTTGAAGAACAGGACCAAGAACTTTCCCAGTTACGTCCAAAGGTCCAAAGGGGGAGAAATCTAGCCCACATCCTGCAGCAGTACCTGAAGGACGTGCTCACCGTGCATGACCCTGAGACCTGTACGGGGCAGGGCTTCCGACGACTGCTCACTGAGGCTGTCCGGCTGTCAGCGAGCCTTGAGGACCTGCTTGGAGCAGGTAAGCTGGGCACAGGCTGTCATGTGAGAAGCCTCAGGGGTTCCGATGCATTCATCCCTCTGCCATGGGCATTTGCCTCAGCTCTTCCTGGTACTGAACATGTGTGCCATGACAAGGTCAGCTCTGCTTGGGAAAAACAGATAGGGGCAGAGAAGTCTTTCAAGTTTGCAGTATCCCAAAGGTCTCCTCTCTTCCTGATTGTGGTTGGCCTTTGGGGCAAGAGGCAGGGTCCATCCTCATATCAACACCAGAAAGACCTTGTGAAATGCAGCCGCTGTTAGGCTGAACAAAGTCACTGAGCTAAGTTGAATGGAAGCCTCCAGCTCTGTGATCAGTGTGGTTTTCAAATGGTAGACAGCTGATTGCTTTCTCCATCCAGGATTTCTCTCTCCTCATTCACTAAATGGACCAAAAAATCTGGGGCAGAGCAGATGTAACCATCAAAGGTGGAAGCTGTTGCTTGTATGTTTCCCAATAGGACAAAGGCCCTCCTCTCCCTGGGAGTGCCAGACCAGGCACTAGAGTTAGTAGAACTTAAGTGAGGAAAGCTGTTGAGAAGGGAACTCGTAACACAGAGAGAATTTCCTCTAATGATACTGCAGAGAAAACGTGGAGGGCCTGTGAGGGAGGGATGGAAGTCGGGTTCTTTGCTTCTTCATGACAGATGGAGGTTCTCTGTGAGACCCATGGGAACATAGAACCCATGCCTTGGACTCCCACTAGTGGCAGGATGAGGGATAACAGGCAGAAGTCCCAGGGAAGCTTGAGAAGCTTCTAGTGTTATGGGAGCAAAGGATGTTGGCCTACTTTCAGGCAAAACCTGCCATGGTTCTGATCTCCAAGTGCAGAAACACAAAGCCTGATAGACCACAAGAGAATGGCAAGGTGCTTCTTTAAACACAGAATATTTGAAGTTTTTGTCCACTATTGGCCCATATGTAGATATTCATATGCACACAGAGGCCCCCTTGATTGTAGTGGGGTAGGGGGTTATAATATCTGATTGGACATTTCTGAATTTGTTTACAGAAAATATTGAAGAGGAGGAAACACCAGCACAAGGACCTGTTGCTGACAGGTAATAGTGAATGATTAGGAGCTGGCAACAAATGGGTGAAGGATGCACAGGGTCTCCTAAAGAACAGAAAAGGGGCCAACACAGTCATGGAGTTGAGACGCACGCAGAAACACAACTACAGATTGTGTTGAGTCCTTCCTGGCCAACTAGGAAATCCCCCTGTTAAAGTAGGTGTCTGTTGTCCTGGTCCAAGTTGCTAATAGGATCCATCATGAACTCACAGCCTTAGGTGTTGCCTGCACACAAAGTTCCGGAACCCCTGTTCTCTGCTTTCTGGAAAAGCGAGGAAGATGGGCATCTGCTTTCTACAGAGTTAGCTGAAGTTCTCATCAGAGAAAACTAGCGACGAGGCAATGTGCAAAGGGAGCAGTTAGGAAGAATCCAGCCAGGTTAAACTGCAGAAAAGCACCTCTACAAAACCATGTTTGCTGTCCTGTGACTTGGTTAAGAGAAGGCCCAGAAGGTAGCACATCTCTAGAATCTGCCAAGCCCCTAGAACCTTGATCACATGGCTGCAGGACACTGCAACAACCCAACCTGAGCACAGGGTGTCAGCCCGCATGACTGTCAATGTGTGCTTGTGCTGTGACTGTGCCATGCAGCGACAGTGGAGGCTGCTTCCTCATTAGCTGCTGTGTATTGAGTGTGATGAGCAGAGGCTGATCTCTTCCCAGGCCCTCTCCCCCTAGGCAGCCACACAGTGTCCAGAGTGGAGGGAACCACCTCTATGCTGTCTATGACCGATCCCTTAAGCACCCCATCCAAACCAGCCAACTCCCTGGTGTCTCTTCCTTCTTGGTTTCATCTCTGTCATCCTTATCCCACCTGGCTTCTCAGGGAGCTCTTGGAAGTGGATGAAATGGAAACCCCACAAAGTTCACAGCAGGAAACATCTATCACTGGTGCTGCTGACCACCTGCCGAGTGGCTCCTGCCTGCCTGAGGGCACTGTGCAACTGTCTCGTGATGCTGAGGACACCCACGGTGTGCTAGGTGTAGATGGGGAACACGCTTGTTCACACAAGAAAGAAGAACCTGTCACCGTTCTCCCAGGTAGCCTCTCCATTCTTTGTACACAATGACTCTCAGGTGGAGGGTTGCTTTTGAGCACAGGCCCTGCAGACACAAGTTGGTTTCAGTCAGGGTCCAGGTTGTGGCACTGAACATAGACATCAGGAGAGTCAAGGATCTTCCCTCCCCTCAGATGCTGTTTGTCTCACTGCACCCTAGCCTATGGGAACATACAGAGGCCCTGTGTAGGAAGTGCCTTTCAGACACTCTAACTTAGAAATAATGCCTGCTGTCACCTGCAGTGATATCATTCTGTTCTACTACTGCATCCCTGGAGTTCTAGCCCCATGCAGGCTTTTGGTAACACTTCCCATGTGTGGGCCAAGTTGTGATCCTAGTTTCCCTACTTCCATCCCTAGTCTCTGTCTCCTTTAAGACAGCTTATCTTAGCTATGCAATCATCTGAAAAACAAGACATAAAGTCTTTTATACTGTACTTCTAGTACAGTTCAAAAAACATAGCTGAATCCAGGAATGTCCCTACAAAATCAGTGTTCAAAGTTTCTCTATAACTGCATAGATTTATTTATGCGAGGTGTTATGGAGTTCATTCAGCCTTCTATAGAAACTCCTCTACCCTTATTCACCATGATCAGTCTGATAGGATGTCAGTACTATAGCAACACTGCTAGATTTTAGATACATAAATCCTAAAGGGCCTGGGGAGAGAGCTCTTGAATTGCTTGTATTGTTCCCATAGACAAGAGGGAGATTATTCATGAGCAACTCTTAGAATAGCCAAGATTCTGTGTGGCATCAAACAGGTTTCAATTCCAGGGCATGCAGACTCCATGCATAGCTCTCTCCCAGTGTTCTACCTCCTCTCCACAGTCAGCAACCTGGGTCCTTTAATGAGAGCAGCCTGACAACTGCAGTTTGCCTCCTAGGAAGTTCTTGGGCTGTGAGCTTAGAATCCCTGAGGACCATTGCAGGCTGTTTCTAAGGGTTCTGGACAGAGGTTATTGAGATGGTGATCCAACTGTGAACAGGGAGATTTGACCCCTTGCCCAGGATGGCTCACCAAGCCCATCTCCTGATGTCGACTTAGTCCTCCTGGAGGATTTCTGTCACAGTCTCCTGTTCTCACACGAGAACAATCTGTCCTCTTGGTAGTAGTGGCCATTGGATACCAATATCTGACCCAAAACCTGCTTAACATGGTCAATCTCTCTGAATTTGTTTGCAGAAAATCAATATCATGAAGTGGAGGTACAAGAGCAAGTTGTCACATGCACTTCCAGGTAACTCGGAGGCAGAGCAGACAGTGTAGCATGGACTACTAGGGAATCGAAATGCTGGAGAAACTGGTGACTAGAGCTAGTTGGAACATTCAGCCAATGATGAAATGGCTCTGTTCCTAACGTTCCCTTTTGCATTGTTTCCCTCTATATTCCCCCTTTGAACATCCCTCACATATTTTAACCTGTAGTCTGATGACAAAGTCACTTCTGTACCTGTGATGCGTGTCTTCAGTGTCTCTGTCCTCCCGTCTCAGCAGGGAGCTCCCAGAGGAGCAAGAGCAGGAAGACCCAGATGATTCGCTGGACGAGTGCTACCTCACTCCCTCGATTTCTCCAGTCGTTTCTGAGCTTGACCATTCCACGTGGAGCAGCTGGTGCTCCCTGGAGCATCAGGACATGCTCTCTGCTCCAGATGCAAACGGTGAGTCCCCCACTGTGAGGTGATACAACCCCCTCTGCTTGCCAAGGAGCCCGCACTATCCTTGCACTCATCACTCCCACCTGACTGAGAGGGCTCCTGGACATGGGATGGTCTGAGACGTTTTCAGCATCTGTGCTTTTTCAACCAGTCTGTTGCACAGGTGTGGTTGGCCCATCCAGCCTTGCTGTCCTCCCATTCCTTGTGTGGCTTTGTCACTCAGATTCCAGTGCTCAGTCATTGCCAGAAGAATGTCACAGATGCACACCCACCTAAGCAGCACATCTCATGCTTGTCTCTGCCGTCTGTTCTTAATGAAGCAGACCCCTCTGCCCCCTGCAGTGTTGATCACAGGAGTCATTCCCCGTCCCTGTCATGTGACATTGTTTCCTGTCAGAGCCAGCAGCATGCTCGTCTTCATTGCAGTCAAGATACTCCCCCTGTTTCATTGAACCCAACCACGTTGTCTGTCCCTTCAACGTTGGCATCATTTCACCTACCACACGTACAGAATGTTCTGCCATTCCTTTAGTGTGTCCCCAGGCTGCAGGTCTGAGACCTATGCTTAGAGATTCCATGAGTAGCCAAGTTTTCTCTTGTGCTGCACACATTCACTCTGATACCCAGAACTGAAAATTCACCTGTTCCACCTTTTATCTTATCCTCAATGTACAAAATATGGTAAACCACAAACTACCAAGATAGCTTGTTTGAGAAGCATGGGCACTGCACTTCTTCTCATGGAAAGGAATCACACTAGGAACCAAGCGTCTCCAGAGAATATTATTTTGGATTTGATTTTATCTTATGAAAGCCAGAATTAGAGAGAGAAACAGGGAGAGAGAGAGAGAGAGAGAGAGAGAGGCAACTCTTGCATAATCTGGTCTGCTCCCCACATGGCCACAATGGCATCGACTGGACCAGGCCCAGGGAGGAACTAGGAGTTTCCTCCAGGTCTCCTATGTGGCTGCAGGGCCCAAGTACTGAACCATCTTCTACTGCATTCCCAGGTACATTGGAGGGATCTGGATCAGAAGTAGAACAGCCAGGACTTGAACTGGCATTCACATGGGATCCTGGGGTTAAAGGCAGCAGCTTTACCTGCTATGCCTCAGCACCCACACTTGGGAAAATTTGTTTCATTTGTGTAGGGAATCAGGTCAGCGATTATTGGTGTGATGGCTGGAGGAATAGGGAGGTTTACCTCATGTGTCAAGAAAAATGAACAAGCTAGTTCCCTCAGAAATGACCTCCACCCTCTAGACAATTCCTATCTGAGGAGTCGGCAGTGACACTGAGGATACTGGTGTGCTGTGCTAGTGCTGGACAGCGCATTGTACAGGCTTTGAGGGGATCATCCTAGATGACTGTGCCTATTTGAATTCATTTGCAGAAAAGGAACATGACAATGATGAAGTGCAAGAGGAAACACAAGCCCTGTCACACAACAGGTGAGTCTTAGGAACCCTGGGCAGTGAGCTTAGTGCTGACACGGGCAGACTCCAGGTCCAGAGAAGAAGAGCAGTGCCACTGTGCATCTCCCATCCATTGAGGCAACCCAGCGGTACCCCGTCAGCACTGCTGTCTGCCATCATTAGGGTACTAGTCTGGGTTTCCACTTCTCCCTACCTTTTCCATGTAGTGACCTGCAGCAGGCTGACTCCATGAAGGAGCCTCTCCAGGGATTCCTTGCCATCATTGCCTCTCTTGTGTGCAGTGAAGGGCAGGGTGCTGCTCACAGGTCTCCTCTTCTCATGAGCTTCTCTGCCCCCCATTAATCACATGAAACCACCCAACAGAAACTAGTGCCTCAGCACTGAGAATAAGACTGATGGCCAAAGCCGTGATAGTCTCCAGTATCCCAAAGGGGGAATTCATTGACTCTGCATGTAATTTACATAAATCTGTTGAAGCCAGTTTTTGTTTTCCAAATACTCATGGGTACTAGTGGACCAACTGAGAGTCATTTCTCCAGGCTGAGTCCTTAATAACCTCATCACAGAGGAAATGCTCTGTTTCTCTCTGCTTCTGTCTCCATATCCTTTCAATATCTCTGCTACTCACCTATCACCTCAAACCTAATACTCTTTCTCCAAGAAGATGAGAGTTCTGTTTGCCTGTTTACTTTTCATTGACTTCAAGTAGTACAAATAAGCATAAAGAAGTCTACAAGCACATAGATCTAATAACATTTAATATTTGGCTGTAGTTGATTCATGTGTAAATATTATATATCTACACACACATACTATTCTCAGTGAAGGCGGTGGGGTTTCTGTTTTAACTTGCTTTCTGTTTGCCACATGCTTCCTATGAGCACTTCATGTTTCCTCACATGAAAGCTGCCCTGTGTTAACGTTCAGTTCGTCTACTCCAGGTGGTCAGCAAGGACCCTCCTCAAATGGAAGACATTGCATCCTGTCTGCTCCATTAGTAGCCAGTCTTCCTCAGATAGGGACAAAGTTGTGGGTGGCCCATTGCTCAGCCCAGCCACTTCTGGAAGCTGCCTCTTTGGAACTGCTTGGAAAGGGGCTTTCTGTTCCCTTTCTGTTTCTCACCCACCTTTCCCTCCCTCCAGTCTCATCAGGGAGATTCCAGAGATTGAAGATCAAGATGTCTCACAAGACTCTCATGGTACGTGTTTGACTCCTGCACTTCTTCCGGAAGCTTCTGACTGGTCCCATTCTAGGAGCACCTGGTCCTCACTGGAGAAACAGCCTGTCTGCTCTGCTCTTGTTGGAGATAGTGAGTGCTCCATTGTGAACAGGAACACTCCACTGTTCTCCCAGGTGTCCTCTGTAGTCTTGGGTTGCTGCACCTGTGTTGGGTGAGACAGACCACTGTGCACTCAGGCCCTGGGGACTTATCTCAGACTGGATGTGGCTCTTGGGTGGAGTTTGTTCATAGTCATCCAATGGGGGAATCCCTTGGCTGTCACCAGGCCCACTTTCAAGGTGCAGCTTTTGACTCAAGACAGGGAAGGAGGGGATGGGAAGGCAGGATGGCAAACACCGAGCCACCACCATCTCTCTTGGAGAGGCTTCTTGAACAAGTCACTGTGGTGTTCTTAATTTTAACAACAGTTTCAATTTTGAACAGCATCCTCCAAACTTCTCAGGCTTAAAGCTTTGGCAGGCTGTACAATGTTTCCTTAGTTATCTGATACTAGGTATCCTTGGTCGGCAGACTCTGTTTTCTCTGAAGCAGCTTGGTGCTAACCACAGCAGTCCAGTCCCGCACCTGTGTCCATGGTGTGGTTTTCATCTTCAGCTTAACAGCACTGATTTGTGCTCATATGAGGTCTGTAGTTTTAATCCAGTGTCTACACTCGGCATTTTTTTCTCATGCAAAGCCTCCATAATCTTGCACCAGGACAGGAATCTATTTACTATCTGAGTGAGGCTGAGGTTTCCCTCACGTCATCACAGGCAGAGTGCCTCTTGTTGAGTAGGAGCCTTGGAGTATGGCTACTTCATGGGGAGGGGCAGAGAAAAAGTCCAATTTCCTTGGATCTGAGCTTCAGTGAGGTTTTACACTTTCTCTCAGGAGGGTTTGAGGCACCTTCACTCATCAAATCATTCAGTAGGAAAATCAAGAAATCCTGATGCCCTTCCCTGTTTCTCAGTGTTCTGCAGTAGAATTGGCAATGACAGTTGTCCCCCCAGTGCTATAGATCAGCAGGCACCTTTTCTTGGTGAGACCATGCGCTTTTCCTCTGTACAGAGGTACAGAGATGTGCAGAGTCATCCCAGGTCACAGCGATTCACACCCAGCTATGAAGGCCACTCTCATGGGCATCTGTGCTGTGCTAGACCCTGTGCCGTCCTGATCCATGCAACCCTCACTGGACCTCTCCTGGTGGAGATTCTGTCCCCACCTTGGGGAGAGGATCCTGAGGCTCAACAAGGTCACTCTTCCAGGTCACCCCACCTTGTTGCATTGCAATCAGAGACCACTCCTTGGCCTGTCCCTTGTTTGTAGGCTCAGTCCACTTGTTTTCAGCAGACATTGGCCAGTGATGTGGCTAGTATGGATACTCATACTTAAAACTTTTCTTCTGTAATAAACTGTGTTGAGAGAATTTCAAATATCAGAAGAAAAGTTCCGATCTGCAAACAAGAACTTCTAAAGTTCCTGCAAACATCTGCCACTAGGAAGACGTTGGTGTGCTTCATCCCTGAGCAGGGTCAGCACCTCATTGAGGTTCTCAGATAGACCTCCAGCTCAGGAGTGTCCCATGGCCTGAAAGTTCCTGGTCTCTCCCCTCAGACATTTTGCACTCAGGGTCCCAGTGAGGCATGCCCATCTGCATTTCTGTCGAAAGTGGTTGCTGTTTCACAGAACAGAGTTCCCTGGATGAACATTTCTAGGCTCCAGTTGTGCCTGGGATGTCTGACTGCAAGCATACAGGAGCTGCTTATGCTCAGAAAGCCAGAGCAGATTGGTGGGCAGTTTATGTACAGAATGATCCCTTTTGAGAGCAGGTAAACCTTCATCTCTGCCCCTGGTGACTGCTCTGTCCTTGTACTCCTATCCCCACTGAGGATGAGTGAAGTCATTGCTACATGCCAGACCTACAGACTTGTGGCTATAGACTCAAAATCCTGAATTGAGCTGTAAGCAGGAGTTAGAATTCATGATTGTTTATTTGTTATGGAACAGAGCTGTGACCATTTCACAGCAAGCTCAGCAGCATGTGCCCCGGTGGTGTTTGCTCCCTCCTGGTGGGAACCTTGGAGGATCACTGTCGCCACTTGCTTACTTTTTCTTCAATGCCAATCCTCAGCTCTGCCCTTTGACATCCATGCTTATCCAGGCCACAGCATCCATATAGGCATCTCTGTCGTTCATGTTCTCAATGGCGTTTCCATTGGAAGATGAATTGACTAGGGAAGAGTTCATCCAGAAATACATGCTCTTGAATTGCTTGTATTGTTCCCATAGACAAGAGGGAGATTATTCATGAGCAACTCTTAGAAGAGCCAAGATTCTGTGTGGCATCAAACAGGTTTCAATTCCAGGGCATCAGACTCCATGCATAGCTCTCTCCCAGTGTTCTACCTCCTCTCCACAGTCAGCAACCTGGGTCCTTTAATGAGAGCAGCCAGATGACTGCAGTTTGCCTCCTAGGAAGTTCTTGGGCTGTGAGCTTAGAATCCCTGAGGACCATTGCAGGCTGTTTCTAAGGGTTCTGGACAGAGGTTATTGAGATGCTGATCCAACTGTGAGCAGGGAGATTTGACCCCTTGCCCAGGATGGCTCACCAAGCCCATCTCCTGAGTCGACTTAGTCCTCCTGGAGGACTTCTGTCACAGTCTCCTGTTCTCACATGAGAACAATCTGTCCCCTTGATAGTAGTGGCCATCGGTAACCCATATCTGACCTAAAACCTGCTTAACCTGTTCAATCTCTCTGAATTTGTTTGCAGAAAATCAATATCACGAAGTGGAGGTACCAGAGAAAACTGTCACATACACTTCCAGGTAACTTGGAGGCAGAGCAAACAGTGTAGCATGGACTACTACGGAATTGGTAGCCAGTCTTCCCCAGATAGGGACAAAGTTGTGGGTGGCCCCTTGCTCAGCCCAGCCACTTCTGGAAGCCTCCTCTTTGGAACAGCTTGTAAAGGGGCTTTCTGTTCCCTTTCTGTTTCTCACCCACCTTTCCCTCCCTCCAGTCTCATCAGGGAGATTCCAGAGATTGAAGATCAAGATGTCTCACAAGACTCTCACGGTATGCGTTTGACTCCTACACTTCTTCCGGAAGCTTCTGACTGGTCCCATTCTAGGAGCACCTGGTCCTCACTGGAGAAACAGCCTGTCTGCTCTGCTCTTGTTGTAGATAGTGAGTGCTCCATTGTGAACAGGAACACTCCACTGTTCTCCCAGGTGTCCTCTGTAGTCTTGGGTTGCTGCACCTGTGTTGGGTGAGACAGACCACTGTGCACTCAGGCCCTGGGGACTTATCTCAGACTGGATGTGGCTCTTGGGTGGAGTTTGTTCATAGTCATCCAATGGGGGAATCCCTTGGCTGTCACCAGGCCCACTTTCAAGGTGCAGCTTTTGACTCAAGACAGGGAAGGAGGGGATGGGAAGGCAGGATGGCAAACACCGAGCCACCACCATCTCTCTTGGAGAGGCTTCTTGAACAAGTCACTGTGGTGTTCTTAATTTTAACAACAGTTTCAATTTTGAACAGCATCCTCCAAACTTCTCAGGCTTAAAGCTTTGGCAGGCTGTACAATGTTTCCTTAGTTATCTGATACTAGGTATCCTTGGTCGGCAGACTCTGTTTTCTCTGAAGCAGCTTGGTGCTAACCACAGCAGTCCAGTCCCGCACCTGTGTCCATGGTGTGGTTTTCATCTTCTGCTTAACAGCACTGATTTGTGCTCATATGAGGTCTGTACTTTTAATCCAGTGTCTAAACTCGGCATTTTTTTCTCATGCAAAGCCTCCATAATCTTGCACCAAGACAGGAATCTATTCAGTATCTGAGTGAGGCTGAGGGGTCCCTCACGTCATCACAGGCAGAGTGCCTCTTGCTGAGTAGGAGCCCTAGAGTATGGCTTCATGGGGAGGGGCAGAGAAAAAGTCCAATTTCCTTGGATCTGAGCTTCAGTGAGGTTTTACACTTTCTCTCAGGAGGGTTTGAGGCACCTTCACTCATCAAATCATTCAGTAGGAAAATCACGAAATCCTGATGCCCTTCCCTGTTTCTCAATGTTCTGCAGTAGAATTGACAATGACAGTTGTCCCCCCAGTGCTATAGATCAGCAGGCACCTTTTCTTGGTGAGACCATGCGCTTTTCCTCTGTACAGAGGTACAGAGATGTGCAGAGTCATCCCAGGTCACAGCGATTCACACCCAGCTATAAAGGCCAATCTCATGGGCATCTGTGCTGTGCTAGACCCTGTGCTGTCCTGATCCAAGCAACCCTCACTGGACCTCTCCTGGTGGAGATTCTGTCCCCACCTTGGGGAGAGGATCCTGAGGCTCAACAAGGTCACTCTCCCAGGTCACCCCACCTTGTGTGCATTGCAATCAGAGACCACTCCTTTGCCTGGCCCTTGTCTGTAGGCTCAGTCCACTTGTTTTCAGCACACATGCCAGCGATGTGGCTGCTATGGGTATTCATACTTAAAACTTTTCTTCTGTAACAAATTGTGTTGAGAGAATTTCAAATATCAGTAGAAAAGTTCCGGTCTGCAAACAAGAACTTCTAAAGGCCCTGCACAACATCTCCCACTAGGAAGGGATTGGTGTGCTTCGTCCCTGAGCAGGGTCCGCACCTCATTGAGGTTCTCAGATAGAACTCCAGCTCAGCATTGCCCAATGGCCTGAAAGTTCCTGGTCTCTCCCCTCGGAATTTTTGCACTCAGGGTCCCAGTGAGGCATGCCCATCTGCATTTCTGTTGAAAGTGGTTGCTGTTTCACAGAACAGAGTGCCCTGGATGAACGTTTCTAGGCTCCAGTTGTGCCTGGGATGTCTGACTGCAAGCATACAGGAGCTGCTTATGCTCAGAAAGCCAGAGCAGATTGGTGGGCAGTTTATGTACAGAATGATCCCTTTTGAGAGCAGGTAAACCTTCATCTCTGCCCCTGCTGACTGCTCTGTCCTTGTACTCCTATCCCCACTGAGGATGAGTGAAGTCATTGCTACGTGCCAGACCTACAGACTTGTGGTTGTAGACTCAAAATCCTGAATTGAGCTGTAAGCAGGAGTTAGAATTCATGATTGTTCATTTGTTATGGAACAGAGCTGTGACCATTTCACAGCAAGCTCAGCAGCATGTGCCCCGGTGGTGTTTGCTCCCTCCTGGTGGGAACCTTGGAGGATGACTGTCGCCACTTGCTTACTTTTTCTTCAATCCCAAACCTCAGCTCCGCCCTTTGACATCCATGCTTGTCCAGGCCACAGCATCCATATAGGCATCTCTGTCATTCATATTCTCAATGGCGTTTCCATTTGAAGATGGATAGACTAGGAAAGAGTTCATCCAGAAATACATGCTCTTGAATTGTTTGTATTGTTCCCATAGACAAGAGGGAGATTATTCATGAACAACTCTTAGAATAGCCAAGATTCTGTGTGGCATCAAACAGGTTTCAATTCCAGGGCATGCAGACTCCATGCATAGCTCTCTCCCAGTGTTCTACCTCCTCTCCACAGTTAGCAACCTGGGTCCTTTAATGAGAGCAGCCTGATGACTGCAGTTTGCCTCCTAGAAAGTTCTTGGGCTATGAGCTTAGAATCCCTGAGGACCATTGCAGGCTGTTTCTAAGGGTTCTGGGCAGAGGTTATTGAGATGCTGATCCAACTGTGAACAGGGAGATTTGACCCCTTGCCCAGGATGGCTCACCAAGCCCATCTCCTGATGTCGACTTAGTCCTCCTGGAGGATTTCTGTCACAGTCTCCTGTTCTCACACGAGAGCAATCTGTCCCCTTGTAGTAGTGGCCATCGGATACTCATATCAGACCCAAAACCTGCTTAACCTGGTCATTCTATCTGAATTTGTTTGCAGAAAATCAATATCATGGAGTGGAGGTACAAGAGCAAGTTGTGAGATACACATCCAGGTAACTCGGAGGCAGAGCAGACAGTGTAGCATGGACTACTAGGGAATTAGAAGCCAGTCCACCCCAGATAGGGACAAGGTTGTGGGTGGCCCATTGCTCAGCCCAGCCACTTCTGGAAGCTGCCTCTTTGGAACTGCTTGGAAAGGGGCTTTCTGTTCCCTTTCTGTTTCTCACCCACCTTTCCCTCCCTCCAGTCTCATCAGGGAGATTCCAGAGATTGAAGATCAAGATGTCTCACAAGACTCTCATGGTACGTGTTTGACTCCTGCACTTCTTCCGGAAGCTTCTGACTGGTCCCATTCTAGGAGCACCTGGTCCTCACTGGAGAAACAGCCTGTCTGCTCTGCTCTTGTAGACAGTGAGTGCTCCATTGTGAATGGGAACACTCCACTGTTCTCCCAGGTGTCCTCTGTAGTCTTGGGTTGCTGCACCTGTGTTGGGTGAGACAGACCACTGTGCACTCAGGCCCTGGGGACTTATCTCAGACTGGATGTGGCTCTTGGGTGGAGTTTGTTCATAGTCATCCAATGGGGGAATCCCTTGGCTGTCACCAGGCCCACTTTCAAGGTGCAGCTTTTGACTCAAGACAGGGAAGGAGGGGATGGGAAGGCAGGATGGCAAACACCGAGCCACCACCATCTCTCTTGGAGAGGCTTCTTGAACAAGTCACTGTGGTGTTCTTAATTTTAACAACAGTTTCAATTTTGAACAGCATCCTCCAAACTTCTCAGGCTTAAAGCTTTGGCAGGCTGTACAATGTTTCCTTAGTTATCTGATACTAGGTATCCTTGGTCGGCAGACTCTGTTTTCTCTGAAGCAGCTTGGTGCTAACCACAGCAGTCCAGTCCCGCACCTGTGTCCATGGTGTGGTTTTCATCTTCTGCTTAACAGCACTGATTTGTGCTCATATGAGGTCTGTACTTTTAATCCAGTGTCTAAACTCGGCATTTTTTTCTCATGCAAAGCCTCCATAATCTTGCACCAAGACAGGAATCTATTCAGTATCTGAGTGAGGCTGAGGGGTCCCTCACGTCATCACAGGCAGAGTGCCTCTTGCTGAGTAGGAGCCCTAGAGTATGGCTTCATGGGGAGGGGCAGAGAAAAAGTCCAATTTCCTTGGATCTGAGCTTCAGTGAGGTTTTACACTTTCTCTCAGGAGGGTTTGAGGCACCTTCACTCATCAAATCATTCAGTAGGAAAATCACGAAATCCTGATGCCCTTCCCTGTTTCTCAATGTTCTGCAGTAGAATTGACAATGACAGTTGTCCCCCCAGTGCTATAGATCAGCAGGCACCTTTTCTTGGTGAGACCATGCACTTTTCCTCTGTACAGAGGTACAGAGATGTGCAGAGTCATCCCAGGTCACAGTGATTCACACCCAGCTATGAAGGCCACTCTCATGGGCATCTGTGCTGTGCTAGACCCTGTGCTGTCATGATCCATGCAACCCTCACTGGACCTCTCCTAGTGGAGATTCTGTCCCTACCTTGGGGACAGAAAAGTTCCGGTCTGCAAACAAGAACTTCTAAAGGCCCTGCACAACATCTCCCACTAGGAAGACATCGTTGGGCTTCATCCCTGAGCAGGGTCAGCACCTCATTGATGTTCTCTGATAGAACTCCAGCTCAGGAGTGCCCCATGGCCTGAAAATTCCTGGTCTCTCCCCTCGGGCTTTTTGCACTCAGGGTCCCAGTGAGGCCTTGAACTTGTCTTTGCCACAGACCAGTGGTTGTCTGGCTTTGTCTCAGAAACACCCAGTGCCAGGGATGGGCAGCCATGAGGAAGCAGGCAAGTGCACAGACACTGTCTCAGGAGGGAGATGTGTGTGCTAGGCCAAAGCAATGCCTTACAGCCCACCTGGGATTTCTTCCTGACTTTTGTGTTTCACCTTAGCTTGTCTCTCCCTTCTTCAGGTGCCTGTAACTAGGTTCCCACTTCAACTGACCAGAAAAGTGATGGCCACATCATGTATATTATTATCTATATGACAGGCACTGAAGGCATATATCCTATGAGTCGATGTGCTTGGTGTATGTTCAGCAAAGCATGTGCATGTATGAAATGCATGTGTTCTTGTGCTAGTGTTGTTCATTCCAGCTGTGAGTGGTCCCCTGTCCTTGTCTCATTACAATGCCCTCCAGGTTGGATGAATCTGCTCCATCCCCCCAAACCTTCAACAGATATCCAGTATGGCTTCTGTGCCTTAAAAGTTTAAGAGCTGTGTGTTTTATTAGTCCCACTTTGTTGAATATTGTGATCCTCTGAGCCATGTTTATTACTTTTGCCTAGTGATAAATTATCAGTGAATATGTATAATATCAACCCAAATGCGCAGCACGCCAGCTGTGGTGGCCATTGAAGGGTGAACCAATGGCAAAGGAAGACCTTTCTCTCTGTCTCTCTCTCTCTCTCACTGTCCACTCTGCCTGTCAAAAAAAAAATCAACCCGAATGAAAACATTTTAGTGTCTGAGCAGATTTCATCTCCCACTTCAGACATGACTGTCCAGGGCCCCTTTCCTTACTTGTTGTCCCTCTGCTGCAGGCCTGACTGCCAGAGAGAGAGCATGAATACCAATCCTGATGGCTGTGGTTCTATTTCAGAACTCGAAGATCCCATCACCAGCAAGTGTGAGAGTCATAGCATCAGCCCCAGCGATGTCCCAAGTACCCCAAAAGAAAATGTTATCAAAGGAAAATGGAAGCCCAGGAAATGCAAACTGGCCTGCAGGTTCCCTGGCCTGGAGATGAAGGGAAAACCACAGCCCACAGAGAGGAAGATTGTGTGCCGATTCCCAGGCCAGGAGATGAAGGGAAAACCACAGACCAACATGTGGGCACTGACCTTCAGATTCCTGGGCCTTCACGCCTAGACAGAGGTAATCCTATGTGTGTGTCTGAGATGTACTTGTTCCTTCTTACACTGGGCACAGATTATAGCTCATTTCTGTTTGTTCAATAGGGTAGAACTGTAACCTCTCTGTTTGGATCAATAATTTGAAATAGAAGATACAGTAAGAAACCCTTGTCATGTAGAAACCTGACCCACAAAATAGGATACCTCCCCTCATAATCAAGTTAAAATGTTTACAGTTGAACTTCTCTCCCTAAAACATGCTGTTCACCATCCACTCACTTGATTGCAAGTCCTCTATTGGGTTGAGAAATATACATGGAACAATCACATTTTATCTGATTTTATTCCCAGGCCAATTTCCAATGCGGATTCCTAGGTCTCATTCTCCAATGTTTGTCCTTCCCTCTGACCGGTATACAAACAGGATATTCTCAAAAAGAAAATTTCTTAGGGGAACTGAAAAAAAAAATGGGGAAACTCTAGGATGACTGAAGAGTGCCTGTTTTAAAGTTAATGTTCCCTTCAGAGTTGAGTGAGTAAGCTATTAGGCACACAGCAGAATGGTCCTAGGTGTAACTAGATGTGGAATCATCTTCAGAGAAACTTGGTGTCTGTTCTATTGACATGAGTTGTGCTGTGGTTACACTCCCAGTTCTGTTTGCTTACTGCAGAAAACTAATCCATTTCTAATGCACCAGAGAGCAGGAGGAATTGGGGTGACATCACTCACTCCTGGTTGGGAGAGGTCAAGGGCCCTGGTTCCCCAGCACTGCAGAGCTGGGCTGGAGTTCAGGGCAGGACTCTGCTCATTTGGCTGCCACTTCCCTCTCAGCAGCCCAGGGCTCCCCTTCAGCCAGTCTCCCCACTAGAACTGAGTTTGCCTGGCCTCTGCCCCACTCAGGCCCAGATGCAGGCTCAGCTCTCACCTGGACCTGACCCAGCTCTCCTTTGATTTTTCTTCTCTCCCTCTTTCAGATCCCAAGTACAGTTGGAAGGACAGAACAGTATTGCTGATTGTAACATCCCCACCTCTTCAAAACATCTACCACAAGAGCTCCACTTCAACAGCAACCAGAACACCAAGAACGCAATTTCAACACCATGACCTGCCCTCGGCTGTTTTTATCCACTAGGCTGCTTCCCTGAGAGCTGGCACAGTCTTCCACCTCCAATCTGAGTAAACACCAAAGGAGACCCAGGCCTGACTCCACAGCTGCTCTAGAGAGAACACCACCTGGCTCCTCTCCAACTACCTCCTGTAGAGATCTGAGGTCAGGAGGAGCTGGAAGCAAACAGCACAGGACTCTGGGCACACACTGCCTTTGGATGGGGCGAGCTCGGTGTGGGCAGTGTCAGAGACACAGCGCCCTGTGCACAAGGCTGCATGTGAGCAGAGGAGAGGATCGAACTCTGCAGGACGTGGACCCTGACCCAGACAGCTGGCCCTCTCCTTCACACTGCCAGCATCCACATAGAGGACAGCAGGAGGAGGAGACTTTGGGGCTCAAAAGGACAGGAAGGGTCTCTTTCCTCCTTTTGAACCCCAACCATCTCCCCCTTCTGCTGTCTTCCATGATGGGAACGCTGACTGTGTGAAGGCGCAGGCCAGGTGTCTGGCTCGGGGTCTGCATCCTGAGGATCTCTGATGCTTTCCTCAATTTTACACTCAGCCTCACTCTTTGGCCAAGCACCCGATGCAGGGAGTGCTGTGTGCTCCCTCCCACATCCCCCCAGGAGGCAGAAAACATCTTGTGTGCCCATCAGGTCCCCTGACCCTGGCATCGGTCAGTGGGTGAAAGCTGTCTGTTGAGCTGTACATCCTAAAGATGTGCTCCTTCCTCTGTATCCTAACAACTGTGGAGAGGGTGACCCCTCAGAGCCTGAGCAAAAAGGGAGTGAGCAGCAGCCTGGCGGAGGTCCGGTCATCAACCCAGGAGGTGGCCGTCGATGGGCGTGATAACAGCAAGTTCATGGTGATGAATGCAGCAGTGTGGCCGGGAGGGCCCAGGTGGGCGAGGTGGCCTGAGCCTGCATCAAGGAACCAGACACCTCCCTGAACACTCCTCTCTCCACGTCCAGAGTCAGGCAGCACAGATGCGGGCAGGACCTCGTCACGAGGACGCTCATCTCTTACAGCTGCTGGTCCTGCCAACTCCACTCAGTGTTGCAGGAGAACTGGGGGCTCCTGATGCAGGACGTGGGCCAAGGTATCCAGAGCCCCAGCAAACAGCAAGGCCGTGTTCCTGCCGGCCTGAGGCAGCTGCAGGATGAGGAGGGGCCATATGCCTGCCCCCCCCACCCTTGTCATGGAAAACCGAGTCCTTGAAGATTCTGGACTCCTGCTGCTTAGTAGTTGTTCCTGGTCCAAGAACAAACCGAGCCAATGGCACCGCTGCCCTGTGGTGGACCTGTTTCTCACAGCTACCATTCTTACTTCCACTGTCTGTCATGCCTGTGATGACACAATTGTTTTCCTTTCATGAAAATTGGGATCCTAGGGAGGGAATTATGTTTCCACCTGAGTGTGCCTCCTCTCAGTGTAACAGCTGCCTTAGACACCCTGTCAGCACATCTTGGGCTCCTAAAATCTACAACTTCTCATTAAGATATCGCTGTCCAGGCCCAGAAGTGTCTCCTGTGTCCTGGAGTGTAACTGGAATCTCAAAAATTTTGATTCAGATCCCAATATGTATTCCCTGTTTTAGTTAAGTGTTTTTAAAAAGAAAAATTCCAAAAAAAAATTAAAAATTTAATAAGAAAAAAATTTTTAAAGTAAAAATAGAAAATAAAAATGGTACTGCATTGTTTTTTTAAAAAGGAAAAAGATTTAAAAAATTAAAATTTTGAAAACTGTTAAAAAATTTAAAAAGAAAAAATTAGAAAAAATGTCATTTAAGTGTTTTTGAAAATAAAATACTGAAAAAATTATAATTAAAAACTTTAAAAACAATAAAAAACAAAAAATAGGAAAGTACTAATAGGAAAATTAAAATGCTACTTCATTTTAGTAACTTTTTAAATAGGAAAAATTTAGAAATATATATAAATTAAAAATTTTTTCAAAAATTTAAACTCAGCAAAAAAACTAAAACTCCATTTCAGTTCAGTGTTTTTGTAAATACAAAAATGCTAAAAAATTTTAAATTTAATAATGATTATACTTTGCAAATGACAAAAGAGAAAATCAATTATTCAGAACAAGTGTAAAATGTCATTCCTATTCACTGTTTCATTTAATGGAGAAAATGCCAATTAATTAAAATTTAACAACTTTGCAAAAATTTAAAACTTAAAACAAAAAAAGCAATACTAAGGAAACAACGTACAACGCCATTTCAGTTAGTTATCTTTCTAAATAAGAAAATGCTAAAAAGAAAGGAAAAAATTTCAAAACAAAAAGAAATTACTAAGAAGGAAAAAAAATGCCACTTCAGTAAAATGCCACAATGCAACCAAAAAAAATGTAAAAATTCTTTTTGCTTTGTTTGACAACTCGAATTGGTTCTCAACAGCTGACCAGTGATGATGACAAGTTATTCAGAACCTCCAGAACAAACCGCCTGGTAATTTATGCCAAGAGACAAATCAGCAGTCCTCTAGGTTTTTCCTTGGATACCACTTTCACCAGCCCTAACTTAGGTGAAACTCTCTGCAGAAATTTTACAAACTCTTTGCTGATTTTGATACCTGCTTTTACTTTTGTTCTGTAAAAATCATACACTTTCGATAATAAAATTTCAGAGTTGAAATAAAACACTTTGGAGAGTGCTGCTTGGAAGATGGACAAATATCCTGTTTGAAAATGGCCTTCCTTTAACAATTTTACCATGCATTAACCATTCATGCCTGTGTCAGTTATTATATTCAAGTCTAATACTAGATTTCTAATAGAATTCTTCCTGAAGACTGGATCCTGGCATTCTGTAGTTCAAAAGCATTCTCACCCCAACGTGGAATGTTATTGCAAATATCCTGTTAGCCCATACCATTGAATTTTTTTCTCTATCTCTTGGATTTTTTAATTGCAGTGTTATAATATATTACATCTCATATTGGGTGTGTCAATTTTTTACCCTTGTATCTCTCTCTCTCTCTCTCTCTCTCTATTTATTTATATATGAAGTAGACTGCTTTTCTCAAGCTATAGCAGAGAGCCAGATCAGAAGAGGAACAGTCGAGTCTTGAACCAGAGTCCAAATGGGATGCAGGCACTGCAGCCGGAGGATTAGCCCACTATACCACAGTGCTACAACCGGGTTTTCCAATATTTAAAGAGATTTATTTATTTTTCTTCAAGGCAAACATAAGAGAGAGGGAGAGCTAGATAGAATGAAACACACACACACACAGAGATGTTCC